CAATCATTTCAATATACCGTTTACTATTTAATTTTATTTCCAACTTACCTCAAATTATTTATCCCAAGCTATTAGACACTGCGGTCGTGCACAACTTTTTCCTTTTTCCCACAAATTATCCGGATCTTTTAGTAAGCACTTTACGACTTCTGTCAATTGTTTTGGCCATTTTTGTCACAGAACAATGCTCTTCGTTTAATTTCGATATCGCGTATATTTCAGCGGACTTTTTCCCACCATCCGTTTTTACGAAATACGCGTTTTAATACGCATTTAATTGGCTGTATTTCGCGTAAAATTTATTATTCGCTTTCGATAGCTTCCGTACGACTGAGCGGAGCATAAATATTCAACTGGTTCAAACTCGTCTGTCTCGCGGCTACGGATTATAATATTTACATTTTCGTTTTTCTATCTCTGAGAAGTTGCCTTTCTGAGAAATTGTCTCGGTAATAACATTCGACATAATCCATGCCTAAGGATATTGATGTAGTAATCTATTCGTTCTCTCTGCTACGATGCATAGTAGAAGAAACTATGGAGTGTGCTCTCTTCTTGCCCCGAGGTGAGACGTTATAAAAGCAAAAGGAATATTTAATGTGCTATTTTGTCCCGGGCTTATGAGCTTAGAAGATGGACACTGGCGTGCGTTAATTGATGTTAGAAGGAAAAGAAAGAAATAACTTAATGGAACAGTTTTTGTGAAGTTTCGTTTGCTGTGAAACAAACGGAGCCGAACCAGTGCTATTTTAAAGGCGGAGTTGTCAGTGGAGGTATGTATCCCGGCCACAAAGGGATCCAAGTCCTCCCCTTTTCTTTCAAACGCGTCCCCTTCCTAGAACATCTTTAAATCCAGTCCTCGCCCCCATTTAACCGACCACCATGAAGAAGATCATGATGGTGGACCCAAAACAATCATTGGGAGAAAAGACACTCGCTCAAATTCGGCACGGTTCGCTTTTAATAAAGACACTTTTCATTTTCTTTCCCCCTTCTTTGTATTTCGAAGTCATTAACTGTGTGTATAGTACGTTGTATGTTTTTGGGGTCGGTTATTTTCTTAGAAAAAACATTTTTCTTTTTGGCATTCAGATGTTAACTCTCTTGGTAATTAGTATTTAATATTTATGGTTTGATCATTTTGCAATAAATTGAAATTGTGTATGTGCTAAGTATTATAGTAGCAAATAATCGTATGTAAAAACATAGATATTAATTTATGTAGTTTTAGATCCTCATGCGATGGTATATTAAATACTATTTTTACGTTTAAAATTGTTTGTGTTAATTTATCCTTATATATATTTAAATATATTGATATGAGTAACATCTTTATATATATTGAGTAATCATATTATATTTTAGAAAAACTATCTAATATTCTAAATCAATTAAATTATGAATATTTTAAATTGCGAGTGTAATTCTTAACTTAATATTATTTCTAAAATTCATTTTTTTTTTTAAACTATATCTATCAATTATAAAATCTCATTCTTTAGACCTGTTTTAATCAATTTCTCAATTTAATATATCATATTATATTTTAGAAAAACAATCTAATATTCTAAATCAATTAAATTACAAATATTTTAAATTGCGAGTGTAATTCTTAACTTAATTGTTTCTAAAATTCATTTTTTTTTTTAAACCATATCTATCAATTATAAAATCTCATTCTCATTTTAGACCTGTTTTCATCAATTTCTCCAAGATTAATAAATCCAAGTTTCCATAAGGAATATCAAGCAGTGATTTTATTTAGCTTGTAGGTTCGTATAGAGAGAGATAGGCTGTGATCTGCTTACAATAGGTCTTTACATAGGAGTCTTATACATTGGTTGTACAATCCTTCTGGCAATCTAGTATCACGAAGTGACAAACATTTCTTCAAGCATTCTGAGAACTTCAGATCTTTCACATATTGAGAACTGTTTCTCTGGATAGATAAATTGATCATGTCAATTTTGATATGCTAAAAGTTGAACTCTGAATTGGCATCATTGAATTATCTACATTTTATTTTAGACTATTTTTTTTTATATGATGTAGTCAATCATTATTTTTCTCTGATTTTACGTTCTCAATTCACGTGGAAATATTTCTTAGCCCATTTACAATGCATGCGAATGAAAGCACGTGTGAATACGAGCGAATATGAAATTAATTTGAAAGCACTGATGGTGAATCGATAATCGCAAGAGCAATCGATAAGCAAAGATAAAAAAAGAGAAGAGATCTTTGTTTAAAATTAGAAAGCGTATCTTCGTATCAGGCACTTGAGAGAAACTTGATCTAGGTATTCGTTCTAGAATGAAGTTGAAAATAAAAATATTTTTAAACAACTGATTAATACACGCAGTTGTTAAACATATTTGATTTAAATTTAGAATGTTTTAATAGCCTGAAACTTTGAGGAAAGCCCAACGTCGTATTGACATAAGTTGTAAAAATTAAGCGGAAAAAATCAGTATCGTAAAAGTATAATTTCGTAAAATGCTTCTAGTAAAATCATTTAATTTATCATTATGGAATAGAGAACAGCAAAGAATCATTATATCGTGATCAGGTGTTTATGTAACGATCGCAAAGTGTTTTTAATCTAATGATCTGTCTGTTTCAAGTTATGTCTATTATGAATATAATTAGTTTAGTATGTATATAATTCTGTATATTTATTCCACATTGGAACATAATCAGAGGAAGTATGACGAACGTATTGCACTGCTTTCAACTTGTTTTCGAAGGCGATGCTATTTAATTATCATTGATAATGAACGCGTAATTCAATCTATCGAAGTAATGGTAGTAAGTTTTGGCACAATTCCCGTAAAAACAAGCACGCGATTGTTACGTTTCTTCAAAGGCGTATCAACGCCGGTATCCTTCATTCTTCGACGATCGTTTACTTAAAAAAATTGCTGAAAGGTTTCACAGATACGAAATATCACAAGAGGAATCGGCCTAAATCAAACAAGCGTGAACTTGTGTTACAGCTGTTGCATCCGCGCGTTGCAGAATAACGATCCTCTTACACGTTCGATCTTGGAAAAAGAATATTCTCGGCTTGCATCACTCGCTTTATTTCCACCTGATCCTGCCTTTTTCACCCGCCTGAAAAGTCTGGTTTCCCTTTCTTCGTCTTCTGATCACGTTTATTCATCCACACAACCCGAGCATCCTCTCGATTTATACATATTACGCCTATAAACGTTGGAATTGCAAATCCGTGTCGTGCAGTCGCGTGTACAGCAGAGGCTAAGCCACGGAGAAATGCATTATTGTTATTGCTGGTACTATCCTCGCTGGTTCAACGACGCGAGGTATTAATACATACGGTCGATGTCTTTCGTTACGTAACACTTAACTCGCATAATCTGGCCCGATAGACTGGCTGATTGCTCGCGGATCGTCCAAGTTTCTCCTCTCGTTACTTTGACTGCCCGTCAAGACGGGATTTCCTGTAAGCGTCGACGTTTCGACGATGCGTGCTCTCCCGTCTTCTTACGTACAATTTTCCAACATTACATTCACGCGATAGAAAGAAAAGGAATCTACACTTCAGGATACCATAAAGATCCTTCTTTTTCATGTATCTCGTATCTCGTAAGCTTCAAACTGGTTCTATATCCCCCGCATGTTATGAATTGAACAATTTTAAATCATTCGCGTATTGTTCGATGCTTCTGCAAG